GGTCTAGGCCCGAAACGTCAGCCTTTCTGCTCCTATGATGCTGCTTGGCCTGCTGTGTTCATCCAGTTCTGCACCTTGTTGTTTCGGATTCTCCAGCATCTGCAGTTCCTACTATCTCTGATTTTTTTTTTTACCCTTTCAGTTTTAGCCTCCTTCGCAATGGTTCCCAGTTTTAACTTGTTCTTTTGGACAGGGAAATTGGAGATCCACAAGAGGAAAGTAAGATCCTTTTTGACGACTAAGTCACGGTGATGCTATTGGATTCAATATCTTTGGGTTCATTTCATGGAGCACAAGCTTCATTCCTATCATACTTTAAAATTGGAGATTTTGTGACTAAGGTGATGCCTTCCCAGGTAGCCAGTACAGCTAAACCAGAGGCTGCTAGAACAAGCTCACTGTCAGATACTCCAGCTGGAATATTATACATAAATCTGGGCACAACACTTTAGGAAGGACATGATGGCTTTGGAGAGCAAGGAAGGAAATTTATTTCTGGTTCAGGTATTTGGGGTGGAATGGGATGGGATAGACTGGCCTAGTTATAATTGTTTTCCTTCAAGTGGAGATGATCAAGGCAAGCTTTCGTAGAGGTGTTTAAAATAATGAAGAGGGAGTAAATCAAAAGAAACTGTTTTCCATGACTGAGAAATTAATAGTCAAAGGGCATGAATTTAAGATGATTTGCAAAAGAACTATAAGTGGCAGGAGGAAAATCAATATTTTATGCAATGAGTAAATAGGATTTGGAGAGCATTGCCAGGTAAGGTGTGGGATAACAATTTACTAGTATCCTTCAACTGTAGATTGGATGAATACTCGAAGGAGAAAAGTGAAGGATCTGTAAAGAAGGAAAATGACTAACTGGATTGTTCTTTAGAAGAGCCAAATCAAACTTGATGGGTGACAAATAGCCTCCTTATGTTCCATACTACTTCTATGACAGACTCTTAGCAGGCAAACTTCAATAATAAAGCATCAGTATGTGTTTGAGGTTACTGTGAACAGCAGGTAGATACAACAGTCATTAAACATCAATAGTTAAGCTCTGAATGAAATCAGTGCACTGTTTATGGAATGATAATTGACCCTGACTTTTGGACTCTCGAAGGTCACACCAGCATTCAGTTGAGCAACATATATACTTGCTGGGAATCATTTTTCTGCAGCAAGTGTTTGTCTTTCAATTATATCTATCACTGAGGAGGTGTGGTTGTGAACCACGTTGCCTAATAATATTATAATGATTTCCTTTGGGACATTAGAACTGCAAACTTACTGTTTCAGTGCTCCATCTCACCTAAGGCAGTCATGATTCTTTAGTCCAAACGTATAATGCCTGACTAAAGATTCAATGGTTACATAGCCATGAGATTGAACTATTAGTGACAACACCATTGCATAATCCAGACTAATTGCATTATTCAAGTGCATTATATCTTTTGACTGATTTGTTTTCTTGTTTAACTAATTGGCATACACTTGAGCATTAACCTTTGAGCACTGTGATCTTTTTTAGATTAGACAGTATTCAGTTTTACTTGATTGAACTCCACAGGTCTGGCAGTATCCGTGGAGAGAGAAACAGAGTTAACATTTAAGTCTGATATGATTCTTCTTCTAAAGAAGAGTCACCTGGACTCGAAATATTAACTCTGTTTGTCTCTCCATGCATACTGCCAGACCTGCTCAGT